ATTTCATTTTTCATATAATTTTAAGTGTGATTTTTCGTAATTAGATTTTGTGCATGGAAAGGTTTTTACAGATATGTTAATTAGTTTGTTAAAGTTATTTATTTATTTTATACTTTACTACACATACAGAAAATAAAAATTGTTAACATTGCAAGCCGTCCATGGACACCCGCAACACCAGAGGAGTCACAGGTGGATTGCCGGCCTTTTAAGAAGGAATACGCTCTTTTCTTGAAGGTTTGAAGGTCATATCGGTTCGGAAATACCGCCGACGATAGATCATTCCACAGTTTTGCTGTGCAAGGCAGAAAGCATCGTGAGAAGCGCACAGTTGTGGCCTGCCAACCATCTATATGGTGGGGATGTATATTCTGTCGTGAGGGTCGATGGCGAAAAGATGCGGCAGGTATCAGGTCAAACAATTCCTCAGAGTACTCCCCGTGGTATAAGCGATAGAAATTGTACAACGAGGCTACATCTCTACGCATTGCCAAAGGGTCTATAGTCATTAAATAAACGTAACCTACACAGTGAAGGAAACATTCAGACAACTGCTTAAGATTTTTTAAGTTTTTTTCGGGCTACCCAATGATGAAGTGTCTTTTCTTTGGAGGAGGTTATCAATTCGCATGTATGTTTTTTTGTGTGTATATAATAGTACTTGATTACTCCGGCGTTGTATCCCTTAATGTATTCAATCTTTCTATCCCAATACTAATTTGTGGGCTTTGCAACTAAGCGTTTTATAGCGTCTATTGGCCTGAAGTGTAGTCCTGTATCAGTTACTGTCCATACAATCCCAATGAAATTTTAAACTCAAAAAGTATTAATCTCCAAAGCACAAACTATAGTAAACCTACACAAATTACAATTTAACTCGTCGAGTACCGTCAATATAGACACAATTATAGAACAATAGGTTGCGGTCACCGGTGATCGCTTGGTGTTTGACAGTTAAAATTACATAACATAACATCTCGTCTTTTATCCCCGAAGAGGTAGGCAGAGTTACACATTACGGCTCTTAATGCCACTGTCAATGTAACACCCACTTTTCACTATTTATGCCATGAGTCCCATGTAATAGGGGGTGAGCCTATCGTCATATACCGGGCGCCATTCCAGACTCCGTGCTACTACTGAATTTTTTTTATAAACCCAGTAATACTTCGTCCGACCCGGGAATCGAACCTAAAACCCCTTGCCTTCGCACTTGGTATCACTCGGCCAACGAGGCAGGCAACATTTAAATTAAAAACTATTATCTCCAACATGAACTCCTGACTTCGTCACATAATCCCAAGCCGTCCCAGTTGGCCACCACGTTGGGGATCACATTAAAGAATAACGACCTCCTAGACTGTCTTCCTTGCTCGTCGTAAAACTTACCCTACGTTCGATTTTACGACTCTTAAGGAAAAGATAAGGTTTTTTTTTTCTTTTCTTTTTAGATCAGCAACTAGAATGTGATTATAATGGTATATGATGGCGATCTTCACCCTTAAACTTGTGAAGTTTATTAGAAGTCTATGTGGGGTGGTAAAAGAAAGGTTACAACTCCTTGAAATGCCATTTAAATTGAGTATTTGCTTCTATAGTCAGAGTTATGAACATGTTGACATTACTTTTATTATGATTAATTCAACAGTTATCTAAATAACAATATGCTTTAAAAATACTAATGCAAAGAAATCGTATTTTCGAAACATAGACACGACAAGTGATTTAAACAAAATTCAATTTCTCCGAATGCAACAAATTGAATTCGATTTCACAACAGCAAAGAACTGATTAAAGTCAGCACACAAGCGCAAGCAAAATGCAAAAACAACAAAACCTATTTAAAATCTAAAATCAAAACAAAAAACCCGTTTCAAAGTCCCATCTTCAAAAAGTCATACAATCAGATCTCAAAACGAGAACTCGTCGCAAAAAGTAAACCTTTTTACATGCATTGTTTTGGAAAAACAAAACAAGATTCACGCAAGCATATTCGCAACAAAACTAACAGTGGAACGCTACATGCAAAAACTGTATAAGCAGAGAACTCCAATCAACGTGCGGGCTTTATTCCATTAGACAAATGAAATGCTACAGAAAATAAACGGAACGAAACACCATTGGGTTATGGTGTGTAGGATCAGTGTAGGATTATCTTTGAATTTACTTTTATGTTGCAACCTTGTTTACTATGTTAAGGGGATTTTTAGGATATCAATTATACTGGTGATTAAACAAAAACTCGATGTAAGTGTAATTACACATTAGAGCTTTGAGTTCAATAAATCCTTGAATGAAGAAACATATTTAGAATGTTCACTTGGCGTCAGTCTACAATTTTAATCGATTTATAATTGTAAAGTTTTTCCTATACCGAGGTTTTGATTAACGAAACTGGCGTCTTACTTAGCAGACTCTTTATGTGTTTTTATAATAACTATCGTGAGTCATATTAAATTAACTAAAAATTGCGAACGTCGCGTGAATATACTGCGAAAAATTCTGCTAGTTATGAGCCACAGAGGGGCTCTGGCTGGCGCACTAGACTGCGCACCATCGCCGTGATCGCGCACGCTGCGCATGAAGCTCGAAACTAGTAAATGTTTTCTCTGTATACTTTCGTTAATAACCCATAATTTTTAGTTGACTTCTTTAGGTACTATATTTTGTGGTATTATATTATACACATGTATGCAGTATTTGATAGATAACGAAATCGATTTTTCTGTTATCAATTATAAATTATAAAGGTTAGTTTATCTCCAAAGTCTTCTGCTAACCATTTCCAAGAATAGAACTCTGATATTAATATACTGTATGCTTCCAACATGAATAATAAACATCAGAACAATAATGATTTGAAAGCTAATCAACACCAAATCACACCACAATCGATCTTGTCGCCAACACGTATTAGGACGGTAATAGACAGTTCACCAATGGTGAAAGATTTTTTGTTAAAAGGTCATAGGTGAACTACTAGCATTTATCTAGAGAATAAGTGAGGAAGAGGGAATATCAAACACGACATTTTGCAGTAAACATTTTTGGTAATATCTCAGAATTTGGAATTTCCAAATCATAGTGACATATTTAACAACGACTTGAGATGAGTCATTGAAAACATAAATACATAATATATAATATTTTTAATGAAACTGGGAACAAATCCTTAATATAAGGCGTTAATAGAAATACTGAAGGACAACCCAGAACATAATATTTAAATTATGAATAAAGAACAGATAATTGAAAGTCAAAGTCAAAATCATTTATTTCAATTAAACAAGGAAGACATAGTTGAAGCTCACAAAATTTTTAAAATGTCCGTCGGCCAGTCTTCTTGTGAAGCTATTTGCTTGTTCCAAAGTGTAGATTCCTAATGTATTTAAATAATCAAATAAATGAAAACTAAAAACGAATCATCTACAACCATCCTTACAGTTCCAAGCTGTTATTTCATAAGCCCATTGTTCTCATCCGAATGGCTTAATCAGCCGTTTACAATACCCGATACAAGCTGTATAGCACTGAGTCTAATACCATAATACGATCATGTCACCAGATAGTCAGAATGGTCCACATTTGAATGGTCGGAATTGAGGGCCAGTTCCAGAGAAGCTATTTGGCTGTTGGTAATTAGAATTAAGATATGTTACCTGTATTTAGTCTGGAATTAATTGGAATTTCATATTTGGTCGTGTTGGGTATGATGTTGTGAATTCTAAGTGTAGTTCAGTATGGATGGATTTTCTTTGAATTGAAGGTAGCTCCGAATATATTCTAATGGCTTTTAGATTGTATACATCAGCATTCTAAAAACTCAAGTCCAGAATTCCAGTTTAAATGCAGTTTCTAAGAATAAAAAAATAATCAAAAAATATTTTCATTACTTTTCTGTTTGGATTTTAAAAACAAAATGTTGTCTGATCACGATCACCTATGATTTCAGTAAAATAAACAAGATAATCATCATAACATTTCCTTATATTACAACTCTAATTTAATATTAAAATCGCCAACCTACTTTACATCAAATCCAAAGGAATAAGAACTAACAGCAAATGAGATTTCAAAAGAACATTCCACTTTACCTTCCCAAGCTGCACTGCCCCAAGTTACGTCATACGACACATCATTAAAACTTCCACCCATTGCAACTTCTTTCACAACTTCAATACCCAATTTTAATGAATCAAACTTGACCAAACTGATAACATTGGAAGTCCAAACTATTTGAGGGAAACTTGCTGATAGTAAATTTTGAAGGAATTCCGTTTATTTATGAATCGATTTCAAAATCGATATTAAACTCGAAACTATAAGTTCGAAAAATTCGTGTTTTAGAAGACAGGTCGCAAACATTTGTTTGCAAGATTAAGCTTTCATGCTAAAATTACAACCTAAAACATTTTAAGTAGTGGATCCATTGCTGTGTGATGGGATGGATATTCACAGGATTTTTAAAAACGTCTCGCAATAAGTTAATGCCATAAAAGTTTTAATATACAACTTTGTCAAATTAAACAGTTTAAGGTACTTAACTTAATAAAATATAGCCTTATATTTCTTGTATAAAACAAAATGTGACAATGGTATTTATAATTAACTAGCTGAGCCCGCCACTTCATCCGCGTGGAATAGTGATTCAAAACTTCTCCCCCGAAGATGATAGCATGATAATATATACCCTATATGATGACCCGACTTGTTGATAATATTCATACAAAATTTAAAGTAAAACCATGCAGCGCATTTTGAGTTCATCCCGGACATACATACATACAGACAAACAGACAAAAATTTTAAAAACCATATTTTTGCTTTCGGTATCGATTGTAGATCACGGCCAAAGCATTCTTTTAAAAATCGATTTTACTATATATATTTATAATAAATAAATAAAAAGAAAAATGTTTGCATCTATGGTATCTTACTTGCTTAACTTACTGGTATCTGGAGGATTTTTCTAACAAACTTAAACAGTGTAAGGTACTTACGTGTAAATGGGCATTCTGTCTCCTTCTTTGAACCAAAACATCAAGGCGACTTCGCTGACCGGAGCTGCCAGATCGCACGGTAACCGCGTCATACCGCCCGGCGCTGACCATACTTGTATTACATCTGTATAAGGAGAAAAAAAATATAAATGACGTAAAAAGTACATAAAAATACATATGGACATAAGACAATGTCAAATACTTCATATATCATAGTAAAGAAACGGCGGTTATTTAAAAGTAATGCAAATTATGATCTAATCTAAATACTAGACTGCCTCGCTGGCCGAGTGTTCACAAGTGAGACTGCCAGGCAAGGGGATTCGATACCCGGGTAGGAGAAAGTATTATTGTTTTTTTTTTTAATCAGTAGTAGCACGGAGTCTGGAATTATGCTCGGTATATGGCAATAAGCTCACTTGGGGATCTCACTTACATGGGATTCATAACATAAATAGTGAAAAGTGGGTTACATTGTACGGTAGCATTAAGTGTCGTAATTTCCGACTCTACCCACTACTTTTGGGATAAAAAGCGATGTTATGTTATATTCCAAATACTACAATGTGTATACCCTGATAAATGAGATAGATAACGAAACTCCCACTAACAAGATTCCTCAAATCGATACAGTTATACAATACCTATGTATAAGAAATGACCGCATCTCCAATTTACATTCTAAATATATCGAACGTACTGATCAGCACATCTAAATAAACTTCAACGATCGCCTCAAACGAAGCCCTCATTATATTTTGGAATCACATTCAAAAGATAAAAGATTTTTCCAAAGGAAATCGGAATGGTGGGAGGGGGGAACCGTTCAGTATTGTCCGTCACATTAGTACAGGAAGAACTCGTGTTTAATGATGGCTCGGGCTTTTGTGCACCCCCCTTCATTCATCTTTGGGAGTAGGGGGAAGGGGGCGGTCCCCACCACTAACTCGATTCACACGTTTCGTGGCCTTTGATCTCCATCTCTTTCAGTGTAGACTGTCCATGAGTTCAATGTCAAATCTTATATTCTCAATTTATTTTTTAAGATATTACGGCTAGTCGTGTACATAATTTCATTCTTTATTTCGTTTAAGAAGTGTACCAATTTTTTGTAATGTGTACATATTATTATAATAGAGGAACGAAGTACCAAGGTTATGCCAAAAATTATGAACAATTTTAGTTTTCCTACTAAAAATATCGAGGAAAAACTATTCAAGACTCAAGGCAGAAGCAAGTGATAATTTGTGAATAATAATTATTCATAATTTTTTTTGTAACAAGAAAATGTATTCAAGTGAATTAAATAAATAAATATATACCACTTAAAATATAACTAACTAAAAACTAAAATATTTACATCTTAAATGTATCATATAACTTTTCATTAAAATATTTTTTTAATATTAGTATAGTTTCTTTTTATAGTCACCCTACTACCGTATCGATATCGATACTACGCCACGGCAAGTACTGATTATTCCACTTTGTATTGTATTTTGTGTAATTGAAAATCTCGTTTGATTTTGACAAATTTCCTTTTTTTTTCGTTTTCGTTTGTAACAGTTCTCGCTATCGTCGTCGGCTCCTTTCTAAATCAATTGTGGACTTCGGAATTCGAGTGATGTCTGGCTTTGATTCGACATTCAATATTTGTTTTTGGAAGATACCCCATAGGAACTTAGGAATTCCTGTGATGATTTGTCCTTAGGAAAACGTCGTTGAGATTATTTTGTGATTGTTTTTCTTACAAACCTATTTTGGAGATGCTTTTGGGAACGTATTATAGCAGGCATAAGAAAGACAAGTACTAATTGAACTACAAAATAGTTGACATTAGAAACTAAAACCATTTTATTTTACAAACTTATAAGACAAAAGGATTTTTGCGTTTGCTAGCACGTTCCACACACGAGTCGTACAAGCACGTGACCGATGTGTCTATGAGCCTATCTGCCTGTCAAATCAAGCCTTCATTTCAATTACTCAACCGAGCTATCGCACGAAGTTTTTCCTTCCATAAAAATAACTAAGCACTACAATATTTTCTAGAACAAAATATTTTGAAGAAAAGTTGTACCAAAAATCGCTCGCTATAAATATTTTAGAAGAACAAAAGCGACGATATTAAGCTGGTGAAGATGAGAAATGGCGACGTTCCAGTAAATAGTGGCGGTGTACAGCTGACGGGGAGTTTTTCGCTTGTCTCCACACATTAATAAGCCCTAACACAAATTGGAGCGAGCGGCTAAATGTGGTTGGTCAAAGTTATAAGCTTACATAATTATACCCTTCTTAAAGTAAGAAAACCGCTTGATTCAATGTCGCTTCGAACCGGTTGATCTAGAAGTCACTGGCTAAATTCAGCTGTGGACGCCTTATGACTGATATAATGATTATGTAAGGGAGAACCTTGAAAAGAAGATCATATACATGTCGACTCCGACTCAACATAAAAATTATAGTAAAAGAAAACTTATTATATACAATACTGTTATGTGCTAGTAATTCCTAAACCTTAAAGAAAATTCGAAGAAAGAGTATCATTTTTGCCATTACTCATCCATTATAAACATGATCAGCACCATGCATGAACATATTGTATAAATTGTTTTTTTATTGTGTAATTTTAAGTGTGGGAGATGCTTCGGTACGAATGGACCGGCGAGAACGCATTGATACTCGACCTCACAGAAAACCGACGTGAAACAACGCTTGCGTTGTGTTCCAGGCATCCACGTGCGACGCCGATTATTTACCATCAGGTGATTCATGTGCTCGTTTCTCGGCTTATACCATAAAAAGAATGTGTATCTATGTGAAGTTCATACTTGTCCACGATAAAGGAGAAAAGATACGCAACGTTTAAGAAAAATACTACAAAGATTCTGGCTACTTATATTGGGAATTAATCGAATATATTTTTCGATATTGCTTATCCGCTATAAGCTTATATATAAAACCAATCACTAATAGGTAATAATGTTCGCCGCTCCTGCCTCACCCCTGTTCCAGTACATACGGCATTATACTCGTTTGACCGATCTACAGCCTATTATGTTAGTGCTGCGGCCACTTTGGCATTAGTACAAATTGCTTTAAGGTATTTTCAACTTTACTACTTTATATTACAATGAATGAAATGATGGCATCTTTAATGTATTTTGGATAGTTTAACTAGGTATAACAATGAACTGTTTATTTATTTTGGGGATATTATTGCGAAATAAAAATGTTAAAAAGGACTTCAAATAAAACTCAAATCTCTTTTGAAACTAACACTTTTTGGCTTCGTCTGAATACATAAAGTAACATCACGCCTTTTATCCTTGAAGGGGTAGGCAGAGGTGCACATTACGACGGTTAAATGCCATTATACAATGTAACACCCACTTTTCACTATTTATGTTATGATTCCCATGTAATACATACACATAACATCATGCCTTTTACCCCCGAAGGGGTAGGCAGAGGTGCACACAGAAGTAACACCCACCTTTCACTATTTATGTTATGAGTCCCATGTAATAAGCGTGCCTTATACCGAGCAAAATTCCTGACTCCGTGTTTTTTTTTAAAACCCAATAATACTTTGCCTGACCCAGGAATTAAACCCTAGATCCCTTGCCCGCCAGTCACACTGGCAACCACTCGACCAACGAGGCATAAATATACCATTTTTTTTAAATATTTCAATAACATTATGAAGTTTCGTTTAATCCCTATCAGTATGTTTCCTAAATCGAATTCCTAAAGTTAGTAACTAGTAAGAGACTTAGGTACCAGAGAACTATCCTAACTGAAAATTATGAAATTGTTCATCCATGAATTTCAGGAGATATGTTGCAGAATTTTGAAATCAAACGGAATATTGAATAATGAACTTTGTTATTGGCATTTAATACATAACTTAACTTAACTCCACGCCTTTTATCCCCAAAGGGGTAGACAGATGTGCACATTACGGGGCTTAATGCCACTGTGCAATGTAACACCCACTTTTTACTAATTCATGTTATGAGTTACATGTAATAGGGAGTGAGCCTATTAGCATATACCGGGCACATTTTCAGACTCCGTGCTACTACTGAGATTTTTTTTAAAAACCCATTAGTACTTTGCCCGACCCGGGAATCGAGACCGAGACCCTTTGCCCGGCAGTCGCAATAAATAAATAAAAATAGTGTACAAGGGGCGATCTTATCGCGCAAAGCGATTTCTGTTATATATTACTATTGTCATATACTGAGCACAACTGTACATTTTATCGTCATCGTTATTGTCATTTCCATCAGCTTATGGTCCATATTAAATTAAAGTTTCTTTAATATTTGGTTTACTATAAACTAAACAGGTTAAATCTAGAATTACTCCCAACAACTCATTATCTGTGGCTACATATTTTGCATTTCCTATTAAAATTAACAAGCCTGCATAATACAAACGTGTAATAAGAAATATAAGTCCACAAAACTACCACCAAAAATCATGTCATTCATTTCGCAATCATCACACCAACTGTACGCGCTCTTGTTAAAGTAGCGAGCAATTAAATCTTAATCGAGAGCATCGTTAGCGGGGAGTGTAATGACAGACGTTATCATTACCAGTCCTACCAGTACTGCGAGTACTACCAGATACAGTCCTATGTGATTCATGTTCCAAATATTTCACATATGCACATTATACTTGACTTTGTGCCCTTCGTCAATAAGGGTATGCACGCGAAATAGTTTTGGATTACTGTCATCGTTTTCATTGCCATACCATGTGAAAGAACGCTGTTGACACTGTTTGTTGGTGGTAACGTGATGGCTTGTTTTCTTTTTTATAGTGAAGTGAATTGCCATTTCTCAAATATTGAAAGACTTTTGAGTTACTTTAATGATCCCAAGTTGGCATATTTAATCTATTTTCAGCTTTGGCATTCAAATTAAATATCAAATTATCAGTTGCTCTACTTGTATCCAACTTCATAACCAAAATAACGTAACAGTCTCAAACAAACATGAAGCTGTAACCTTCTGACGTAACCATTCCACAAATCCCATTACAAATCAGTTATAATGGCGAATTTATTCATCGGCATCAAAACAAACCTCTATACTCCCATAATCTTTTTAA